ATAAAAACAGAAGGAAAGCCAGAACAGAGCTATTGTTTCTGGGCAGGTTTGAGAGGTTTGCTAGTGAAAGATGCTTAAGGATCCTCTGAGTCGTTAAGAACATCTTCTAGCTACCTGAACCTTGAACTAAAACCTTGAGACAACTGGGGAATGGCTTGAACCTGCCAGAGGGGAGACTGAGCTGAGCTCTTAGGCAGAAGCTCTTCCCTGTGAGGGTGCTTTGGCGCTGGCACAGGGTGCCCAGAGAAGCTGTGGCTGCCCCATCCCTGGCAGTGTTCAAGGCCAGGTTGGACACAGGGGCTTGGAGCAAGCTGCTCCAGTGGAAGGTGTCCCTGCTCGTGGCAGGGGTTGGAGCTGGATGGGCTTTAAGGACCCTTCCAACCCAAACCAGGATGGGATCCTATGATAGATTATACTGCATATACACATTCTTATCTGTAACTGTCAGGTCATACACTAAATATTAAAATTCCTTGTAAAACAAATTACCTTTTCTACTGAGAACACGTAAATGAAGAGAGCTAATTGAAAAGGACCATCACACCGACAGCTCCTTAGCTCACCGTGTATGTGTTCATTACATCTGAGAACACAGAACGCTCAAAGCCATTTATCAATTTTAGATTTAAAAATACCTAGGCTTGGAAATTGCATGGTATTCTCCAGAAGGAAACAATCCGAGTTTATTACAGCACAGCAATAGTATAAGCAGGAAGAATTTTAAGGGCTTGCACAAACCACGGGACAATTTGTTCTTTTTGACACAAGGAGAAAGCCAAAGGAAAAAAAAAAATCAAGACAATTTTTAATTCTCTAGAATCACACAGATTTTTGTGCATCAACCTTGTCTCTGGATAGCCAGATTCACTGTTTCCTGCATTTCAGAGTGCTGCAAAACATCTTTTGGATACATTTTCATTGTTATGACAGGCTATAAAGCTTGGAAATGAACCCACCACAGCAGTAACTTTTGCAACTGAGCAATGGTATAAAATTTTAGGGCATTCTAGGACGTGTATTGGATATTCTATTCCAGGACAAAGAAAGCCAGCTATGCCAATACAAGCCTCTTGGTCACAAGTCTGATTACACTCACTCAACTGCAAGAGACTGAACCAATCCCAGGCATACAGGAATATCTGACTCTGATGGGCTGCCAAACCCCACAGCACATCACAGCTTGGGGTGGGGAGGGAAAGACAGGGATAAAAGAAACAAAAATCCCACAGGATGCATGTATTTGCCTGCCCTTTTGAATCTTAAATATTCTGTTTACTGCTCAGAGGAAACTTCTAAAAAGTGCCACCTGGAAGAAGTCAGTTTACTGAGGATGAGAGCGGTGCAGGTGTGACAGGGTGTAAGGAGGGATAAGAGAAGGTTGAATTCAGTTCAGAGCAGACCTACTCCATCCCTGGCAGTGTTCAAGGCCAGGCTGGATGGGGCTTGGAGCAACCTGCTCTAGCGGAAGGTGTCCCTGCCCATGGCAAGGGGTTGGAACTGGATGAGCTTTAAGGTCCTTTCCAACCCAAATCAGTCTGGGATTCTACTGTGCAAGTCAGTGCCCACGTCAGTGCAGGATATCAGCTCTGACCCACATTGAATTCACCAGACCGAGCTGTTTCTCTCTGCATCTTCTAGAAACACAAACACACAGGTTATTGCACTGGTTAATTTGATACCCACGTAGCACTGAAGGTGAAAGAAAGATCTTGCTTATACATAACAAGCCGGTAAGCTTGCAGGGTACAGGTTTCCAGAGACACTCCAGCCGTCATCCATCTGATCTCAAAACAATCTCCTTGCAGAAAGGTGGCAAAACATAACTGGTTGCATCTTGGAATTTATTTAGAGTGATCCTTTTGTATTGAGTGTTAATGCCAGTGAGAGTCACTACACTCCTAACAAACACTTTTCCTTATTAACCACAGACCTGAGCCCTTAACTAATTTCACTCAATGTGGTATCTGTCCAGTTAATGCTGAGGCAGGGTATTTTATTCCTGGCTCCTCACCTGCTTGCAGCTCCTTGTGTACTTTATTTCATTAACTCAACGATTTGGCAGAAGACGCTGGCATAACAGCACAGTGATTTGCTGGTTTTTTGCTGATATTTCTGTGAGCAGGTTTGATGATTTCTTCTCCTCAGAGTTTCACCACTACCCCCTGGCCTGACCTTATCATCTCAGTTGAGGTGATTACATTTCATTTGCCAGAAATAAAGGAAAACGGGATGAAGCAAATTAGCCACAATGTAAAGAAGATACCCACATACAGATACAGAGCTAAGCAGCTTGCGCCCAAAAGCTGACCAGAATTTTAAGCAGGCAGAAACACAAAAGCATGCCCTCAGTGACACTTCCCCTCTGCTCTGAGGAAGCACAGTTTAAGAGGGAAGATGGAAGAGTTGGGCTGAAAGAACATTTCCGAAGTACAGCTCTGCCGTCTGCTCGTGTTGCCTGCTAGCACAGTCACTCGTTAGCCTAATTTTAGGCCATCACAAAATCTGACCTGTCTTGGACTAACTCGAGTTCACGCTGAATAACACAATTAATTCAGTGAGCAGCCTCAAACCAGATGCTATCAGCACTCCCAGACTCATGCTGATTGCCTGCAGATACAGAAAACACGGTGCTGATATTCACCACCTCAACCCTGCAGCTTATACACAGGAGAAACATGCTCCCGGCAGCATTACTGGTTTCTATACTCACCATGCGTGAGCAGACCCTTCCTGAGAGGTGTGGAATTGATCTGGCAGGACAACCTGACATTATTCCACCAGTGCTGCAGCCCAGTCCCTGAGCCTGCCAGTCAAACACCACACATCCCCCTGCAATGAAATAATCCTGGATGAAGGTGCATGCTAGGAGCAAGGGCTAGAGCTCTATCAACATTTAGCTTTCAGGCAGCACCCAAACCAGATCTGAAGTAACTGGCTTTCAGATGTGTCCACATACTACTTAAGTATCTCAAAACACAGTCTGTAACAGGTGAACTTGACTCTTACCAAAGCACATCAGTGATGCCACAAACATACCACCACCCCTCATCTGGTCAACCAAATCCTGCCAGAGATTCAGCAGGTCCAAACAAGAATGACTATCAGAGGTTGAAATATGACAGCAATTACAGTTCTCTCAATTCACATGCCAGTGGTCTTATTTTTGCTTTGCTATAGTCCATCAGCATTAGTCCTTCCACAGCTTACCAGCATATTGGCAACCCTGCTAGGAGTTACAACCCAAGGAATAAAGCACAGGGAGCTCATCACAATCAGAACTACAGCAGCTTGTGATGTTGTTCAGGTCAGCTGCTATTAAAACGTGCTCCCAACCTCCCCTCAAACTCAGGTCAACATCACACTTTCATTTCTAAGAAAAAGCATTTCAGGGGATAGAATCATAGAATAGTTAGGGTTGGAAAGGACCTCAAGATCATCCAGTTCCAGCTCCCCTGCCATGGGCAGGGACACCTCACACTAAACCATGTCATCCAAGGCTCTGTCCAACCTGGCCTTCAACACCACCAGGGATGGAGCATTCACAACCTCCCTGGGCAACCCATTCCAGTGCCTCACCACCCTAACAGGAAAGAATTTCCTCCTCATCTCCAATCTAAACTTCCCCTGTTTAAGTTTTAACCCATTACTCCTTGTCCTATCACTACAGTCCCTAACGAAGAGTCCATCCCCAGTATCCCTATAGTCCCCCTTCAGATACTGGAAGGCTGCTCTGACGTCTCCACGCAGCTTCTCTTCTCCAGGCTGAACAGCCCCAACTTTCTCAGCCTGTCTTCATACGGGAGGTGCTCCAGTCCCCTGATCATCCTCGTGGCCTCCTCTGGACTTGTTCCAACAGTTCCATGTCCTTTTTATGTTGAGGACACCAGAACTGCACACAACACTCCAGGTGAGGTCTCACGAGAGCAGGGTAGAGGGGCAGGATCACCTCCTTCGACCTGCTGGTCACGCTCCTTTTGATGCAGCCCAGGATACGGCTGCTTTCTGGGCTGCAAGCACACACTGCAGTGGCTCATGTTCATTTTCTCATTGACCAACACCCCCAAGTCCTTCTCCACAGGGCTGCTCTGAATCTCCTCTTGGATTACTTCCTACGTGCAGATTTTTCTGCCATCAGATTGGTTATTCTGCAATTCACCTGTTTTTTGCAGAGAGTCTGCACACCTGTGGCTATGAACTGCATTCGTAACTCTGCAAGTGAAGGTTCTGGCTTCGTTGGTGGTGGATTGTTTCTTTCTTGTTTTTAAAGCAATAAAATGCAACGTCTTTAGATGCAGAGTTCTAAAACCCCCCAAACAAGCTGCAGGGTATTATGGTGAACAGACAGCCAGTGCCTTGGACCTTGCTATCATTGATTAACAGTCACAGTCCTTAAGAATCGAGGCATCTGCTTAATGCTAATGGTCTAATGAATGTGGAACACATCCAGATTCAAGCATGCAAGTGTAAGAAGCATAAAATACTAAAGGAGAAAGTTAAAAGCAAAGTGTCTGATAATGACATTAAATTCTCTAAATTATCTGAATCTTCCAAGGATGCCATGACTACTGTAATACTGAGCCAACGAAGGTGCTTGCTATCCAGTGAAACAGAGGAGACTAAGAAACCTGAACAAACACATGGACTTCTTCCCAACACAGACACTGCTCCCAGCTTTGCCAGTACAAATGACTACTGAGTAATCATTTTGATTGAAAACTAGCCATAATATGCCTTTTGTGACTATCAAAACCAATATATTGAGTATTAAGCCATATTGAAGAGAGAAGCATTCAGGAAATGTTATGTTGTCTATTACTGAACTTAGCCAAGGCGGAAGATTCTTTTAATGAAAATACAACCGGCATGCTAAGGAGAATCAATAAAAACCACACTGAAAAAATCTGTTTCCATTTAATGCTTTTAAATAAAATTATGCTTTTAAATGCAGTATTTTCATTGAACAAAGACATCAAGACAGGAAGAATAAAACGTTCACATACCTGAGGCTTCTTGAACTGTCTCCTTCAGACCTGTAAAGCAATACACAAACACTTAGGACATAATTACTTCCAGCATTTCTAAACCACATAGTCTGAAAATAGTAGGCTCCATGGCATCCTCTCCCTTTGCTTTCCAGGTAGTTTTTCTTGTTGCACTTTCCCTACTAAAGACTTTTGAATAAGAAATCAGTCTGTTGTGGTTCAGAATAAATCTTGTCAGAAGTTAAAACCAGTTAACACTTGAAGTCAATAACTGCAGTATTAAAATACATGCTGACACCCTCTGAACCCTCAGGAAAGATCTGCTGTAAACATGCAGTAACAGAGACTTGTGTTCCACTGTGCAAGTGAAAAGCACCAGGCTCTGACAGGATTCCAGAAGCAGAGAAGCTTGTACCTTTTCCTTTTGTTTTAAGCTTTTTTTCACTTTAGCAGAAAAGGTCATAGGCAAATGCATTCCGGAATCCCATCCCCAGCCTCATTAGGCACTACTCAAAGGGCTGTGGCTTGCAAATAAAGGTAATTTAAACTATTTTCAACCCCACATTTGCCTTATTCCATAAATGTGCAAAAATGAAGCATAAGATGCATGAAGTTACAGCAGCTCTTAAAGGGAGTATTATTCTCAAGGTGAGATAATTTTACCAATCAAAACTCAAACAAAACCTCTTCCCCCTGCCCCCAGTGGTTTTAGGCAAGTAAATTTCATGTAGTGTCACTTGTACTGAGAAGGTTTCCTCCTCTGAAGGGGAACAGGAACAGAATACTGCCAACATCCCAGGAACAAGCACAAACCCCAGAAGGAAACATACAACTGTGTTTTCCTTACCCCAAAACAATCCAGGCTCAGTGCTGCAAACCAGGAATGAAACATACAAATCAAAGCAGGAGATTCCAGGGCAAAATAAAGCCTCAAACCATCCTTTCCATGTCATAATCTTACAAGGGATTCAAATACAAAAGTGATCAATCTGAACTTGCAAATGCTAGCACTTAAATGAGAATAAGCTAGCACCAAGGTTGCCTCCTCAAAATCAAAGGCAAGGATATTTCTTTACTAAATAAAGAATCTTCCTTAGTATGAGAAAAAGATAAGTAAAAAGTAGAACCAGTTTCTTATTAAGATGACTCCCACCTCCAACAATAACTTGCATACTATGCTAAAGGCAGGAGAAAAAGTTATGGCTAGTAAAAGTTTCCTAAGTCTAACACCAGAAAGCAAAGAGTACTAAAATCAAATTTTTGGATTCTATTGTAGAAAGAGGTCCAAGAATTGATGTTTTTTTCCTCCCCACCTTTATGACATGCTCTCTCTTTTTCCTTGAGCTCAAAGAAGTCTAGATGATTTTAAATGCACAAGCTGAGAGGAAAGAAAGAAGAGTGAACGTAGTGTCTTGGCTCAAGAGATAATCAGGCAGCAGAAGGAGTGCTGGAATTCAGCAGTGTAAGGGACAGAGGTGGCCAGGTGTACCTACAGGAGGGAATCTCAACTGATACCCCTGACAGCTAGCATCACAGACTGCTTCAAACCAGGACAGGTATCAGCAGAGTAGAAAATCCTGTTGTTCGGAGCAAAGTGAATCAAATTCTGCCTGAGAAGAAGTTTCACTCTCTTAAAATTGTTGTCATTGTCCTTCTACCTGAGGAGATGAAGAATCATCACTGCCCCTCGCTTAAGGAAGAGCGAACATTTAACAGGACATCTCACCGCTGTAAAAACCCACTGTAGCATTTGGTGTGCCCAATAGTATCCACCTGTGCAAAAAGCATCCTCAGCCTTTTTGAAAGCTCAGACTTTGGGTGTTACTGGTATCATTATCTGTTATCATAAGGTTTAATTTACTGCCTATTGAAAAGGTTTTCCAAAACATGTGGAATCCCACAAATCCTCACCCAGAAGAGCTCTTAAATATGTAAGAGCTAACACCCTGTCAGTTCTTGTTAATGAAGACAGGATCCAAACGCAAACTGCTACTTCCAGCTGTATCACTGCATTTTATTTAAAACATTAACATATAAACATGCTCCAAGACTTCAGAATTGCTCTGCATTTCCACTGCAGCAGCCTGCCCAGATAACAGCAGCAGTGTGACATCCATCCTTACCCACACATCCAGGCCCAACCATAACAGAGGTGAGGAAAGGACTAAATTCAGGCCTCAGACTGCAGCTGCACAAATCCTAAGCTGACCCAGTGTTAATTCATCAGTCTCCTGTGCTTCCCTTCCCATTTTTTAAAGCCTGCCTGGTCGCCTTGTTAGGTTTCTAGCTACACGTACATATTCTGATGGACAAAACGTAACTTCAAATCAGCTTTTTGTGTACGATTGCCTTGCTCCTGCAAGGGCTGTGAATACAAGGAAAGGAAGAGAAAGGAGCTCCCCGAGATGTCCCCAGGAGTCATGGAAGAATTCAGAAGTGTTTAACTGACACCTTCCCACACTCAGTTTTCAGCAAATTGCATCTTGCAGAACATGCACCTTACAACTGAAAAAGACATCAAAGGCGATTGCTTGGACTTTCAACTTTTCAAATATGGATGGATAGTCTTAATTTTCTGCCTTCCCTCGACTGGAATAACAAAACCATCTGAACCCAGAAAATGCCTGTGAGTGCCCAAAGCATTTGGAGGTCACTAGAAGCAGCAACCAGCATCTTAGACCACTATTCCATCAACTCATTGCTCCTCTCATCAAAACTCAAGTAGCATTTTAACTAAGACAAGGAAAAGAAACAAGGCAAAGGTACCCCTTGCTGAGCTATGTCCTGCACCAAGGCTGGAAGCAACAGCATTCCCAAGCTGATCTCTGTCCAACACAGCTGATAAGGAGGGAAGAGGGACCACCGTCCCTTCCTCATTTTTAGGATCCCCAAGTGTAAAAGAAGCTGCTCGATTTCATGACTGCTAAATATGCATTTTCTCAAATTAGATTGATTTATGAGTAAATCTTATTAATCTTACAAATAAGATCCATTTACAAGTGAGTAAGATTTACTTGACTAAATTCCAAGGAATTATTGAGAGACTGTAAGTTTTAGTCAGGGAATGAGTAATTGGTTCGCAGGGCTGAAAGAACACTCTGCTGAGAAAACACACTACTTGTAGTTTGAAATAAAGCATTAGATTTTCTTTAAGTGCCCTTTAAGTGCCAGGATTTTGGATCAATATTTAATGTTTCTGCTTACGCTGTAGCACGTGCTGGGCTCTGGATTGGTTTTGTCTTTTTAACCCAAACAACACAATTGACACTGTCACTGCTGAAACAAGGAGAAAGGTGAAAAAAATTCTGGTAATATATTGCATTATTTCTTTTAAGGTAGACTTTAAAGGAAGAAAAGGCTACAACATGCAGAATATCTTCTGTGCTACAGCACTTTAAGCAGAATATATTCCACTTACATATCCAAGTTACATCAGTGATGTGAGAAAAGTCATGCAACTTTCTCCAAGATTCCTCCTGCCATCTCCAGATGGTTTCCAGTATTTCATTTTGAGGAGAACTAAATATTAACCAATGCAGTCCATTAAAGCACCAGTTTGTCTTCTTCCTGACCCCAGGAACTTCATTCTCAACAGGAAATACGGTAAAATCCACCCTTAAGATTGGTGGAGTCAATAGAAGTAGAACTGACTTTGCTACTAGCAGTATTTTCTGTAACCCCATTGGCAAGTGGAGGCGAGGAGAAGGCACCATCATAACAAACCTTAACCAAAACCCAAACAAAACCAACCCCCCCAGTACTTAAAACCCACAGGAGATCACAAACCAGAATGATTTTTCAGTTCCAATCAAGTACTGCCATCACTCTCCATCTGACAGTCCACAGCTGTCAAAACTGGGTATTGAACATCTCCATTCGTGTTGCCAAAATGACGTATTATCTGCTGTTTTGAATACCCAGGAGACAGCCACCACTCTCCTACAAATACGCCAAGCAGGAAAATGACAAACAAAGAATCTTGGCTTCCAGTTGCTGAGCTGGTTGGCTATTTTTCAACAAAGCCCTCTTGGTGGGAGGTTGTCAGCTCATACAGATTGAAAACCATCTACAGGAGTATCACAGGTAGGATGAAACCTTCGAGAACTGCACGAGACAGAAAAGCCACTCAGACTGGGAGTGTCAGAGCCTCCTACTGCCCACCAGCAAGGCTCCTCTTCCATCAGATGACAGCAGGGCCTTCAGTCCCAGAAGACACAGCTTCAGAGGCACAGCTCAGCCAATGGCTCTTCAAGACTCCAAAGATTTTATAGCAGGTCTCTGGCTCACCCCAGCAGGAAGCACTCAATTCTATTGTTCCCCCCTTAAAGTAATACTAAACAGGCTCAAAGTCAGCTGCTTTGTTGTTTCCACATCAAGCTATACTCAGAAGTGAACAGCGCAATGTAAAGCTGCTTCCAAAAGCAGCTTCAGGACCAGCTTTGTGTCTGACTGCGGAAGAAGTAATTTTCCAGATAAAATACTGTTCACAACCATTAGGGGCTTTTACACAGACTGATGTACACAACTACCCCCGCAACCATTCCAAGCTTAGCAGATACTTTATTTGGGCCATGAGCAGGGTTAAGGCCATGTCCTATAAAAACAGGTTCTATAGAAAACAGAAACACCCGGTTTAAAACTCTGTCTTAGAGTCATGTTCAAGGTGCAAACTTTCACTCAGAAAAGCAGCCAAAAGCAGAGCTGAAATCTTACTGTGACACCCCACCAGTGGCCAGGACTTCAATACAGTTTCACAGCCACATACCTACTCATGTGGTAGGAAGCCAAGTCGCCTATGAAGGGGGACCATTGCCATTAAGGTAAAAAGAACTGGATAAAAGCCACAGTTTATAGCACTGTGCCACACTCCCATGCTAAATAATTATACTGCATCTGAAATATCTTCTTGCAAGCCACGTAAGGTAATTTTAATTTAGTAGACAGGTATGAGTATACAGTAACCATGTATTAAAGACCATTCTATTTTCACCTTTCACAAAAGCAAAAGATTGAAGCTAATCCTTACAGAGCAATACCAGAATCAATAC